TTTTATTACTTTTTTCAGGTTGATTAAACTAACGAAAATTAACCCGTAGATAAAATTCTATCAAGGAAAACTTTGACATAACAAAAACATGTTTTAATTTAAAATTGCAACTTCAACTATGAATTCCAAGTGAAAATTGTAAGGTGTATTGAAAATGTTCGTCCGATTTTCTTTTAGTACAAATGGTATTGCAATAAAAGGTTTCCAATGTACACAATAAACCATTCCACCGAATGAATTAGGTTTGGAAGATTGAGAGAGCGAAATGTAAGCTCTATTCATCGCAGCAGGTTTGATGGATGGCCTCCAACATTGTGTCATCGGACTTGGGTTGCGTAGATAAACTGATTATTTTCTTACCTTTTACTAATAACATATGTTACCTTTTACTCGTTAAATAATAATTGAATTTAGTACTTAGTTTATTTTATATTACATCTAGCTTTCTCAGCGACTCCAGCCAGCCAGCAGCAGCAGCCAGCGACTCCGTCCGCGTGGGATTATAAAAACAAAAGTGAGTAGCCTATGTCTTTTCTTCAGACTATCCTTTACGTCTCTAAAACTCTGACAAACATCCATCCATCCATCTAAACTTCCACATTTATAATAGTAATAAGACTAATTTATTTCATGACTTAACGAGTCATTATGTCATTGCTTAGTTGATATTCGATAACTTAAGATAGGTCTTTTGAACTTTTCAGCACTCATTTAAAAGATAAGCTTAACAAGTCTCACGAAGCTCTCAGACAACTTACCGCTCTTATACTGAAGTCTTTGAAATAAGTAATTGTCAAGAATTTAATAGCTAGTAGGTATATTTTAACACTAATATGAAACAAAAATCTATAAACATTTAATAAAAAACTTCTGTTGAAAATATCCTTATAAATGTAAGTCCCGTCTCGTCATATAAATAATTTTTAGGCATTGATTTTATACTTTTCTTTACTTGTTTTATAATATTTTTCTTTTGTTTGGCGCTTACAATGTGACGCCTCGTGTTCGCGCGTTCCAAGAATTATGACCGTAATTAGTTTTAATACCGTTTATCTATCCTTGTTGTCGCACAGTATGGTATTATTAGGTGTAATTGTTGTTCATAATACAAGCTATTAAATTATTTAGCATTAATATGATAATGGAATCCACAATTATTTAGTTGTAAAATGTTAAAGGACAAAATGAAAAAGAAAATGTTAGATTCGATTAACTTTAAAAGTTTCCATAGATTAACTTTCCATAGTTTCAAACCGCGTTGCGACGAGTTTGTTTGTTGGACTATGTTGACATAGCGTATCATAGGGGCAGGCAAAGGCTTTACTACGACGCTTTCGAATTACATGCGGCAAGGAGTGGTTAACAACTAAGGCTATAAGAGATTTTAAATGGACACAACTACATTTTTTGACCACAAAAGCGATTAAAATAAATTCATATTGCATTAACTAATACAGTAAAAATGTTATATTGTTAATAAAATAGCAACGATTATTGAGTGGGTTCGCTCAATGCGATTGCAAAATCACATAAGTGGATTAAAACAGATTATTTCATTGCCATAATGCGAGTACTTTATCGACATTTGTGCATTTGTTTTACGAATTACAGATATTAATAAGGCTTAAGTGTGTTACGTTGAAAGCTCTCAAGTTTGCATAGTTATTTATGAATACATTAGAATATTTTAATTAAGCAAAGATGAATGACTTAAAAGTAGAACACAACAGTGTTTCAATGTTCATGTAAAACAAAAGCGCTTAAAATTGTTGTAAATAACGCGAGCGCGAACAATGAACACCTGCACTTGGTAATATTTTACAACTGGCTAAAAATAAGAAGTCGTTATTCTGGATTTGTTTGTTTATTGCCTCTGACGACAGCTAATAGATAGCTACCTGATTCTTATGTTTACAAGAACTGATCTATTTCCATAATAATTCGCTGGAAGTATAGTTTTTGATTTAAAACGTACTAGTTTTGTTTATAATTTCGCAACAACATAATACTAGCTTTGATGGATTGACCCAAAGTACATTTGGATGATATCGGACGATTTTAGCTAAAATTGTAACTCAATAAAATTAGAACCGTCATTCTTAACCTAGATCTTAGAATAGTGACCTATCTATTCCAATCTCTTACCTGTGTTCTGGTATAGTCTAATATCAATGAGAATTATAACAAGTCGTCAAAACGCCTTTAAAATTTGTAAAGCCTTTAAGAAAACTATGTAATGTAAAAATGTTGATAAAAAACCTTAACATATAACTATTTTGTTGTATAAAAATAAATTAATACACATCTGTACTAATTTAAAGATTTGATTTCATTGTCGGAACAATTTCAATTCCGTCAAAGAAATTTAATTGGTCCTTGTTAGCGCTCCAATTCGTAATGAACAATGCTTTACAAGAATTACTTTTATTGCCACCCCAATAATCCACCTGTTAACGTTGAAAAGTGGAAACGAGCTTAATAAAATGCTTTCCGAAATTGACTTTAATTATGATATTTTTATATAATTAATGATATATGATATATTAATGATATGAATATGAATGATATATTAATGATAGATATTTATATGTTACTTACACCTTCAATTTTCATCATAATTTTATATATTTTAATTTAAAACAAATTAAATCGACTAATAGTCTAAACATAAACCTTATAGAGGGCTAAAGAAGTACTTAATTACAGTAAAAAACGATTACTTCCTTGAGACATTGTTCGGTGTCCATTTTTAGGTATAGAGAAAAATTGTATTCACAGCTCTAACGCTATGCTATCGATTATTAGCGTGGTTAAAAGTACCAAAAACACATAACCGACCTGAATAGATGGTAAAGTATTATGTAGAATGAAAACCAAAAATGTTTTCGGCAAAATGTTACTAATACCTGTACAGCGTTTCAGTTCATGTGACACACATTTGTTACCTGAATGGCGCTTGCTTTTATGTTTACATGTACAAAAAGCATCGGTACAGAATGGTACCGTAAGAAACATTAAATCTTAATAAATGATCTTATTCTAAGCTTTTTGGTACTTTTATTAACATGAATAGAATGTTGCAACGTAATGGAAATATACGTTTATTTTCCCTTTGCTGAAGTTTTTCTACATTTGCGTTTTTTTTTGTACTTATACGAATTATGCTTTATACAGAAAACACTTTTCTATTGCCCAGTTAAAGTCAGACATTACAGTATTTATTTGTAATTACTTTTGGAAAAATACTTCATGAAATCTACACGGAAATGGATAGAATCTACGCTTAGTCAACATTTGAATTTTCCAACGAGAAATTGACTAAAATAATGCAAACTTTAACAAGATCCCACAAATCCGACAACAACAAACACTTATAACAGCAATTATTTTGATAATAGGTTCCTTAATTAATGATAGCTATCTTTTTAATTATTTATCTATTATTCTTTAATGATGTCACAGGAACGACATCATATTTTGGCACAATGCCTTCCGTTAATCGATACAAAAACAAAGCCAGCATTCACAACGTTAAATAAACCGTCATTGTCAAGACTCGTACACGGTTCTTTTGTTAAAATATGAAAAGGAAAACATGAAAATGAATATACCAGTTGTTATTTTAACCCCGTTTATAAAACCTTGTAACCTACGAATATGAAGGTCTGGAAGTTACACATTCTAGTCTGGGTAGTAAATAGAAACCAGAACTTGTAGGTAATATAGGTATTGCATCTGGATATTTTTGTCTAAATCAAAATAAGACCGAAATACGGAGAAAGCGTTTACATATCTTTTAAAAGATTAAATAAAATGATCTTGCGTTCATTTAAAAAGTAAACGCCGCGTCATAAGTATGAAGTTCTTCCAATGCAAGCAAATGAAATCTGTTGCAATAATCCGTAAAGTCCGTGCTTTAATGTAATAACATTAGATAAGGCGGGTTCTATGCCGCATACTTTTATCTCTCTGCGCCACAAGCGCAAGCTGGACAAAGTATTTTTTTATTATTATCACCTTCTATTTAACAATAATTTCTATAACATCATTCAGACATTCATTATTAAAATTAGTTTATACATCTTTTCAAATGTACCGTAAACAAATTCAAAAAGAAATTTAAAAAAAATAGTAAATTATTAGGTTATCATAATCATTATAGTTTGATATCGAAGTATGGAAAACTTCAATAACCATCTTAATTAATATAAATACATAATACTTTTAATACCAAAGAATACTATCTAGACTTTAAATATAAAAATTAAAATTATACAAAATATTTGATGCTTTCAATTCGGACAAAATGCTCATTATTCATCGAAGATTTAGACAGACATCAATTTTAATTAGTGCTGAATGGAGAGTTGCCAGTCACAATTCCCCATTTATAAACTTTGATCACGTTGCTAATGCACTGTTCACACAAACAGATGAAAGCGATTTTCAAATGTCTGTAAAATAAAGGTTATAAACAAAAAGTGATCATAATAGATTATACTCGCTGTCGCCTATATGCTACGTGAATTAATCAAGCGGTGTTCTCGATTCTTTGGTTTAATCATTTTCACAAAAAAGAAAGAAGACGCAATACGAGAAGCTTGGTTCTCTTTTATTACCTTAGCAGTCTATAGCTAGAATTAGCTTAACCCAGAATAGGTAAGTCCCCTAAATCAATATAAAATTTTTTGTCCTTTTTCAGTCCATTCGCCCGCTAGCCCCATCATGGAATCGCTCTGTGTGTAACTAGCTTTAATTATTCAAGAGCATTAATAGCCACCAACTTAGCGCGATTTATTGTCAAAATGTGCTAAATAATTCTCAAGTTTGAAAACATACCAATTGAATCTTTCGTAATGAAAATAAATTAACTATACATTTGTACATTAAAAACCAAAATGTAGACCAAAGAGGTTCTTCATTTAATTGTCGATTTAGAAACGAATCGTAGATTATAAAACGATTAGAGTGTGTAGTACAAATAACGTTTATCGACATACCTGCGGTATGACTGCGGAGCAACAGGCCAGCTGCGGCGAGACCTCAACACAAGCGCGACACGCGGCATCGAGCCCTGCGTGTTGCCCATCTGCGGCGCCGATGTCCGCTTGCGGCTCCATCCGCGGCGTCCGCTGTTCGCACCCCATAAGTGAGATGTCCCATGTTCTGAACAACAATTACCATTAGATTAGTTGACCCGATGAACTTTGTACCACAGTTAATCAACAAATATGAAAAATTGTCATTATTCTCATGATTGCAAGTTTTTTTAATCAAAAGCTGCTTCGTCGTTAAGCAAATTTGTAATTCTGAGATCGCTTCACACTTAGTGTCTAAAAATTTAAATTCTTGTTTTATTCTGTTTCTTTATTTCTATTTATTTTTATGGACAAAAAAAGAATCGTACAAATTTGTCAATCAGTCGGGAAAAAGCTGTACGAAACAAACTTTCGATCGCATTGGAAATATGAAACACCATGTTATTGGAGTGCTGCGTCCGAAGCGAATTTCATACGAAAAAATGTGTTTGTTTTATCTTATATTTCACTCCATCCGTTACCCGGAATGGCATGCACGTTCACAAATGACATCAATCCATTGAGGTTTTTTGTACAACTCTATCAGATTGCGTATGCTGTTGTAAATCAAATATTTTTTTTTTTTAATATAAACAGTTCAATCATATTCTTTATATTTAAATATTTATTAATACTAATGTAAAATTATGTATACAAATAAAATAACTCTATTATTACATGAAGTATCGTAGACCTGCAAATTAATTGGGAAAATTAGTCCCGATTGAGTCATGAACGATGTCAATTAATTAATAGGTACTGTATATGTACATTACAATTTGTATTAAGCCTACAATAGAATATATAATGTTTTTACTTATTTTTGGTAAAGCAGATTAAATTTTTTTTTTCAAAAATAATTAAACTCGATATACAATTTTCAGATTCAAATTGATGTACTCAATATCGTAAGGAGTAACCTTCGGCCGCACAAACCGCTATGATCGAATTAAACTTATTTCATTTGCCGAACATATTACATGTAAGTACGCAACGAAAAGTATATTAATCTTATCATCGACTTTCTCATGAATAGCTCGAGGTCAAGGGCTTACAGATTCGAGCTTTACAATTAATTATGGCCACATAATAAATGTACATTAATCTCATATAAAAAAATCTCGCTATTTGATCCAATTAGATATACAGGTAATGTCTGGTCTTTCCTTAACACGACTTGATTTCAGTTGTAGTTTATCGTTTCTAAAAGTTTATAATACTTAATGGTGAAATTCTAAAACTAATTAAATATTTACTTGTGCCACAAATAGTAGCATAATTTACAAATTTATTGTACAGAACTTAATATCAACCGAACCAAGACACTTACACATTTTATTAAACATAATAAACCCTAAGTTAAGTATGTGTCATAAAGCATAACGCCTTACTCCTATTAAAGGCTCAATGATGTGAAAAATGACGGCATTTGCGGCATATTGATCCGCACGCCGAGCAATTGCCTTTTAACATGCAAATTAAGGTAGCCATGATTCTACAAAAACTAACTGCATGTACTTAAAAAAGAGAAGAAAAACATTTGAGTTTACTAGGCAGCATTAAACGCTAGTGTATTGAGTACTTACGCATATAGAGATGTGATGATGGATGAGGTCCCTGCTCCGAGCATGCTCGCCTGCCGCGCGCACTAACAAGTACATCGCGCCGAGGACGTTCAGGCAGCACTTCCACTGTTAACTCCTCCTCACAAACCACGATGTCGCCGCCACCCTCGTCACGATCTTCCTCCACTACACAGGTCGACATCACGACCGCTCTATCCTCCAAAATGTCAACAAATTGCACAATACACTTTTATCCGAACAATACTTCGTCACAATTTACGAATCAATGGTTCCGTTGTGCGTTGTTTGCTCAAAGTTCTACACTATCCTGCAGTCCATTAACGCCCGCAAACGCTTAAATTAGTTTACCGGGCAAACTTTCAGAGTCTAACAAAACATGGTGCGTTTAGGCGTAAATTTCGTTCGATGGTGATTTCCGTGAGAATCTGTAACAAGGAAATTGTTAAATTCTTAGGTGGAAAAATCTCGACTCTATCCAGCACTTTACTATCTAATATACAATTGTTACAACGTAGAAAACAAAAACTTAAGGAGATATCCTTAGATTCCAAAATCTTGAATTTAACAATGGGTTCAACCATTAAAACTTTAAGAATATGGTACAGCAGAAAGAAGGTCTATGAGAACACGAAATATGATTTTCAATTTTATCTATTCTATAGAACACCTCAATGATAAGATGTAAAGTAATACAGTATTGACTGATTAAATGCTGTGAACCAATTGCATATATTACTTACATAAGATAAAAATAACTGGTATAAAATAAGCCTCGTGACAAAAGTACTGTATACATGTTTTAAAGATGTCAAAGGACACTATATTGTTGCACAAAACTGATTTTACGATAACATAAATCTAAAGAACGACATATCACGTAGAATACATTGTTGACAATCATAGTAATCATACTAATATTAATAATGCGAAAGTTTGGATTGATGGATGGATGTTTGTTAGAGTTTGTAGCCTAAAAGTTTGAAACGGATTTCAATGAAATTTGGCACAGTTGTAGAGCATAGTCTGGTACAACACATAGGCTACTTACATTTGATTTTTTTTTAATTCCGTGCGGACGAACGGAGTCACGGGCAAAAGTTAGTTATTAATAATTATTTGCCAATAGAGCTATCATCTAGAGAAAGGGTTCATTTCTTTTATAAATTATGATGTTTACTAGTTTTATCCAAGCAATCTAACATAATACTCAATTAAATTTTGTTAAACTATCCTTCAGGGCACAAGACCAATAAAAACTCTAGTGCAGTCATAGACGTATGTATGTCTACTCAATAAATTACTACCGTATGAACTATAACTGTTATATTACAAATGTTCCATATATACATAAGAATAAATTTCGCACCTGAACCGGGACACAATATTGATCGAACCGAAAACACTGAAGTGAAACGTTATTAGTTTAATAAAATGAAGGCAGGGAACATACGCCTTCATTTGACAATATAAAAACATAAGCTATTGCTATTTCTGACACTGATAGTTTCAGTTTGTAATGTTTCTTGATTTTCATTAAAACTATAAACTTCTAGGAAACATTTATAGCACATTATATACCACATGACTATAAAATTAACAAAAGCACTCTTGTTACTTAAGATATTTTAACCTGACATAAATGTTAAATTTTACTGTCCTAAAATAGCGATTTAGTTTTAGGAATATATTCGTGAGCTGCAGGTGGATTGCAGGTTAACGGCATCAGAGGGCAGCGACCTAAGCATAGCCGCCACGCGAGCCGCTCAAGCCGCCACGCGCTCGATAACTCGACCCCATTTTCCCCAAGACTCGAGACATGTTTCCCCATTTTCAATTCTGTTTCCGGATTAAAAAAGAAACAAATGTGAAAGTACAATTGAAATTTCAATAGTCAATTGTTAAGCTTGCAACCATATATTTTTTTAATTTAACGTTCCACAAAAATACAGTTAAAAGAAAAGAAAATAGACTTAATTTTAAACCACGATGTTGTTTACAAAAACATTGTATAATTTGGGACTCCATTTTCAATGACGTTAATGTAACATACAGAGTTAAAACTAACTAGGCGTGAAATATTTCATTAATTTTCCGATAATATGTGATAATTTTCCAGGTAGTAACATATTAAATAAAATTGTTATGTATTTGGTATTCAAAATTATGAAAGTAATATAACCTCATTAAACTATTTTTCTAAAGATTTCGCAAATGCAAGTCTAAATATCGAAATAAGTTCATAATGTACAAGAGACATTTAACAAACACATGGAATATCAATCATTTCTCTAAAAAGAAACATGTACTATTAAACGGCTAAAAGGATTTCGATGAAATTTGGTATAGATTTAGAGGATAGTGTCGAAGAACAAATGGTACACTCACTTTTTTTTTTAATTTCACGCGGTCGGAGTCGCGGGCGTAAGCTAATATCAACGTAAGTCAAATTAAGAGCACATGGCTCTATATTCATAATGTTAAACCTGTAAATGTTATTTTATTTTAAACATCCCAAACAAGAGTGAATCGAGCTCATTTAAAACAAACTATTTTCACTTTGGCATCATTGTTTAGTCCAAAAATATAAAAGGCGTTTATATAAATGTTTGTAAATGCAAGCTTTGTTGCGTGGAATTAAAAAAACAGTATTTTATTAATTAGTATGTGAATAGCAAAACATATCTATCCTTTGGAAACCGTTTCACTCGAAACAACATGTTACAAAGGATCTATAACGGTATTACAACGCGTATACACCCGTATTACAACCATGAACTACGAGTATAAGGCATTTTACTTCATTTTACTTCACTAGCGATTAATGATATCGATATTTTATGAAGGTAGAGATCAAAGTTTTAAAGAAAAAGTGGCTTTAAATCAGCAGAAAAATGTTATTTTTCTAAAGCAGGCCTTGAAAGACTAAAAATGTAGGATGTTAACATAAGATCCGCGAGTAAAGTGTACCGGAATGTGATCGCAAGAACGGAAAATACAATTATTTTCACAATACAACCACGACCATTGGGTCGTACCTAGAGAAAATTATGGTAACCTTAAAGATTATTGGCTTCTTATAAATTTGTATGCTTAATTATTTAGAAATGCGGTGCGAGTGTGTTGTATAACATAAATAGAATAAATATTAGATAACATACATAATTGTAATCATGTTTGTTCAAATTAAATTAAATCAATACTTCTTTGTAGTTAAATAAATTTTCAAAGCTTAATAAAATTTATGATCGCGATTTCCATGTGTATTTTGTTAGTCTAACGTAGAAGAGTACTACACATTTTCATAATGTAATTTAAAACCAATTTGTTCTGTGCCGGCCTTTATTAACTCGAGCACATGAAATAATTAAAACATAGCCCCACTTACCACGCTAATTAAGCAACAGTAATATTTGTAAAGTTATTTCTACGGTAAACGATAGTTGCTTTTTTGTTTTGTTTAGTAATAAAACTTAGTTACTTTATTGCAAGCACTTGTTTTGGTGTTGATAAAAAATACAATATTTAAGTCAATTTAGCCAATAGCCTAATAGTTTGGGGTACAGACTACCGATCTTGCGGTCGAGGGTTCGATTCCCGCCCTTCAACTATTGTCGTTAACTATATCCTAGGGTAAGCCTAGAGCTTAGTTGGAGTGGTTAAAGGAAATATTATAAATTAACAAAAATCTACTGAAATAATGAAAAAATACTAAAATGTATTTAAAAGAAGGTTATTTTTTAAAGTAGTAAATGGGGAATCCAACAGAATCTTAAAGTTTCGTCAATACAAAACATTGTCAAAAATTAACCTAAATGATCTGTTATCTAGAGTTTCCCGTAGTACCTTTGTCGCTTATTATAACTTAATTCCAACGCAATACATAAACGTAACTATGTATCCAAAAGACATTGTATTAATAATTTCACAACCCTCTTTAGGTTTAATATAAATGCTAATAGATTATGCTTTGCCTTCACCTCGTTACCTTTAGATATTACAAACAAAGACAGAGTAAGGCGCAATGTAATTTGCTTAAATTATACGCCATAAGCCCCTTCGTTACAAAAGCCTAAATTTTTGCTGTCGTCATCGCAATCAAAGGGAAAGAGTTATGCTAAGAAATTTAATAATAAATTTAGTAACATTAAATTTAAATTAACTATTGTATCTTATAGCTGTAGATCGTATATTTTGTTTACAAGAAATGTTAACACCAAATTGTCATTGTTTCCAACAATTATAATACAACCATTGACTCCTAATGTTTGTCACGTATTTTATGCATTTAATTAAATGCTATCAAAATCTTGATGGTTCTCAGAAATCATAAAACTTAAAAACTTTAACACCTTGTACGCAAAGGGAAATGTACTAGACAGTACAGAAGTTTTGCACTTATTATAAATTCATAGAGGAAAACAAAATAATAGAAATAAAAATTCTTTCATTTGTTTACTTCACGTGCATAAATATTTTATTAAGCATCTGATAGGCTTTCATTTGTTTCTCTCAAATAGCAAAATACTATTAATTCCTGCTTTTAGGTAACATCCCACTTTTAATTTTAACTTTAAAAATAAACAGACATTGGAAAAGGTAGCTTATTAAACTCAACATCTTCCAATACCCATCTGGATTAAAATTGTATATATATGAGCACTTAAGATTCAAGTAGTCCGTACTTAGCATTCTAATATTTTTGGCATTTCGCCCAATATTAAGAAATGTGCTAAGAGTGTAAGAAAATGCTCTTTCAATACGCACTCTTAGAATGATATTTAATAATAACAATTACGAATATAAAAGTTATTAAAATAAGATTCTAAATTTCTTTATCATACTTCTTATTAATATTATAAATGCGAAAGTTTAGATAGATGGATGGATGGATGAATGGTTGTTTGTTAGAGTTTATAGCCTAAACGGCTAAACGGATTTCCATGAAATTTGGCATAGACGTAGAAGATAGTCTAAAAGAACACATAGGCTACTTAATTTTGTTTCTTTTTATTCCACCATCTTTAGAAAAGTGGGTATAAGGAAGTTTATATTAAAAAAGTTAAATGGTAAGCAAGGAAGAAAGAATTAATAAATGTGTCTTCATACGCAAGTTTTTCAATCAACGGAGGATTGGACCGAATGAGCTGTCAATATTATCGTTATTGCTTATGTTAACCGGAGCGTCCAAAATGTTTGTTTTAATATAAATATGAAACATAAATATAAAGTTAAAGTAATATTCACAAGCTATTTAGTTACAATATTTTTAAAGTCAACATTTATCAAAGCACAGTACATATTATTTTGAAAAACAATTTTTAAACAACTACATTAAGATATTTAAAAAAAACTTTCTACGATTGGGTTTTAAAACCTTCCAATAATACGATGCAGTGTACAATAAATGAACATATGTTCTTACCTA